AACCGGCCGTGCATGGGCCGGCCTACCGGCAAAACCGGCCGTGCATGGGCCGGCCTACCGGCAAAAAGAAGGCCGGCACGGCTACGGCCGGCATTCGAGGCCGGCCGGCCCAAAAGAAAAAAAAAAAAATTATTTTTGGCCGGTTTGACCGGTCGGCCGCCGGTTTGACCGGTCAGCCGCCGCATGATCGGTCTTGTTGGAAAGCATTTTTTCGCCGGAATTATTCAGAGGTATTTTCGGAATTTTTCGAGGCTCGGTTTGGCCGGTAAATAGGTTTAAAGAGGGACATCTATTATTTTTAAAAAAATATATAAAGGGCAAATTAGTCTTTTAGGGGGGCGGTAAATATCGAAAAGGGGGCGGTGTTTAGCGGTTCACATTAGGAATTAGTCTTGAATCTTGATCCCGTGAGATTGCACGGGCTTGTTTCTTAATATTATTTTTTTTTTTTTTTTTTTTTTTTTTTTNTTTTTTTTTTTTTGTTGGAGAAAACAAAACTTAATTTTAATAATATATTAGATTGTTTTATTTTATATAATACTTTAACATTTATATTAATTTTTTGATATAAAAATAATAATTTTATTTATTTTTGTTAATTATAAACTCAACTATTATTTTTTTTGAAAGACAAGATATTGTCGTATAATGTATTTATTGTTATTATTTATAACATTTATAAAAGTATGTATTCCTTTTTTTATATGTATATATATATTTTTTTTCAAACGATAGAGGAATCTCCATAACACCGAAAAAAATACAATGTCTTCATACATAAAACCAAATAAGCCGAGGGCTTAAAGCCAGGGAGCACTACCACGCAGGATAGGCTAAACAAAATACAAACAAACAACCACAAAGACATCATACCCAAAGGCAGAAATAAGCATTCTGAAAACCTCCAGGATGATTTACAAGCCAGCCCAAATACACACAGAAAAGCACAATAGAAAAAGAAAGTAAGCAACGAGAACAGCCACAAAACAAGCTAAGACACTGAACTGCAAAACAGACCTATCTAGCTTCCTCTGTGTCTTCTGCTGCTTCTGTTGGAACTGAATTCTTGCCATTCAAGCCATGCACCATCCACAATGCCTTTGTCTGGTCTCCATACTCTGTCAAAAACCTAGAGGTTTCCAGCCTTCCATAGCCACCATAATATATAAGTAGTAAGTTCAATTTTGGCTTCATCCACAGCAGAATTAGAAATAGAGCATACACTCCCCTACCAATCACCAAATCTGGCTTCTTCTGCTTGTAACCCATCCCATCTGACCTGAGCATGCTGCCATATTCTTCGAGCTCTTCTGCAAGATAGCAAGATATGTTCTACAGTCTCTACTTCTTCACCACAACAGCAGCAGATTATATCAACATCAACACCTCTCCTTTTCAGGTTTGCACAGACAGGTAAGGATCCACTAACACACTTCCATAAGAAGTGTTTTAGTTTACCTTTAACTTGAAGATTCCAAGTTCCCTGTCTGATTTTTTTATTTCTCCTTGATGTACCACTTCCTTCAGCCAGATCCAAATCAAGCAGCTTCTGTTTATGCAGGAAAGAGTAAGAAGATGCTACTGAAAATCTTCCTTTAATTCCCATAGTCCACCTCCACTTGTCCTCAGCATTAAGGTCTAATGACTGGATTAGTAACAGTTGCTCACTATCTTCCCCTTCAATCATGCTTCTCACTTTTTCTTCATTCCATTTCCCCCTTG